AAAAAAAAAAAAAAAAAAAAAGAATTAAACAGTGTCAACACTTTTTGTTCAGGTCTTAATTCACTCTGTCTTCCCTGAGGTATAGGATCTGCAAAGAAAATCAATTAGTTGTGATTGCAGCGATAGGTAGATTTTCCGTGATGGAAAAAAAGGTGTTATCTAATAACACCTACTACATCTCGTGTCTGGTGCCTTTTAAGAGGATAAGTAAAACCGACACGTTTCTAATTTCTCAGATTGATATCTTTCCTCATTTAATTAAGCAAGAATAATCAGTTTCCTTTTTTCAGTTACGCAAACTAACTTACGTTAAAATCTTTAGTTGATCCAGTGGGGTTCATATGCTTTTTTACGTAAGAGACAAACCTAAAAACATCTAGATGTTCTTCTTATCAAATCCCTGAGCTTCGGCTTTTTAAGCCTTCAAGTGACAGCAGGAAATCCGTCTGAATTCGATCGTTGAGATTTTTTCTATTGTAGTTGAAGGACTATTTGTTTTTTATGCAATTCAAAGATATTAGAAAACCGGCGTTCTGTTTGACCAGCTGCCAATTTCAGTAAAGAGACAAAAAGCGTAGATTACAAAGATAGTCATGAAAAGGCGGCTTTTGTGTTCTGTTAAAAAAGAGGGTTAATTTGCTTCCCCAAAGAGAAATAAGAAAAAATAACTGTTAAGTCTTTGAACGAAATTTTGCGCTGCCTTTCTCGAATGAATTTTGTAGTGCAGGCAATGTGACTGTGTAGATGTTTCCTTGGGAATTAACAAAAATGTTGCTTTTGTTATATGCTTGAGGATTTAATAGATTGAGCTAACATTAGCAATTTTTGTCTTATTTAATGTGCTTTCCCCATCCACGAGGCACAAGTTTGGATAGTCATTGCACTGCTGAACACTACCACTTTCACATAAAATCAGCAACAAACTCTTTCAGCAGGAGATCAATCTTCACACAGTCTTGAAAAATCAAAATATATTCTTTTCTTTTCCAGTTTTTTCCGGTTTTCTAAGTCAAAAACCAAATAAGCAATCAAGAAAAAGAAACTCGACAGCAGTTGTACTTCATTTTGTGGCAGCAGCACAAGAACACGATAACTTAAACGAATACTTTCCGTTACCAAATTTTAGCAACCTGATTGAACTTTAAGCAGCCGGCCTGATAAAAATTTGGCTGAGAAAACAAATGTACATCACCGTTATACAGGAATCAAAAAACACTGATCTATGCATTTCTCAACTTGTTAACTTAAAAGGTACTCACCAAAATGGTATAAAGAACATACCAATCAAAAAATTGGGCAAAGGAGAACTACCATATTCGTATAGTAGTAGTTACTGACTTATTGATTTTAGAAAGAGAGCATTACGCGAGGCTTTGTTTTCGCGACTGCGATAGCGGGAAATGAAAAATATGAGTCAGTGATGTCGATGCGTAAGCTTTACATAAATATGTTATCTTTCATCATATTTATCAAGTTTCTTTTAATTCGAATTTCTTACCATATAGTACTAGTATTTGTTTGGGGTGTGCATTTTATTTGGAGGATTTTTATGCGTGTTTAACCATGAAGTGCGAGTAAGGTAGTTTCAGTTCCATACCAGAGTGAGGATAAGGCTGGGTTTCATCAAGCACTTCGTTGATCGTATTCAGGAATAAGAATATGCGAAAATTTGGTTGCAAATCTCTTGTACCGTGATTATTGGGCCGCTCGTACGCTACATATACCGGGTTATGTTATTTCAAGCAGATTTCTAGCTATTGCAAAGCAAAGAGCGCCAAAACGAGTGATTTTTAAGGTTTATTTATTTTATTCTTATTTTGGAATAGGGTCAATCAAACACGTCTCCCATAGAGTTTTGTTTACTCACAGATTTACTATACTCAACATTCCAGTTTTTATCAAAATGCATGCACTTACCGTTAACGTGATGAGTCAGATCGTAAAAGCTTGTTTTCTAAGAACAGAAAGAACGCTGGTTGATATCCTCGTGTAATTTTTTTTTTAAACATGAGAACTCATTTCCCGTGTTTGCGTTCCTTTCAATTTATGTTGGAAGTCGGTGTATGACAGCGTTAAAAACAGCTGACTTTATATAGCAAATAAGAAATTACTCTCTATAGACATTTAATCAAGACCAAACCAATGCTGCTTCGATTTTAGTAATTTTTAAACTTCTAGCCTTGTGATATTTAAGCACTAATATTGTATCTATATATCTGTAATTTTTAGGTTAGTTTAGTTGGAGGGCCACTGGTTTATCAGCTTCTGCTGTTATGTGTTTACCTTCTTTTTTAAATAAAGTTGATTGATTGATTGATTGACTGACTGATTGGTTCATCCTTGACACCCTATTTCTAAAGGAGCCTCACTCGATAGTTTAATTTTTTAGCATAACTAGGACTATGTACATGCAGTGTGTAGCCTAACATATCAGCCATCTCCTCGCCCCGCTCATTTCCCCGGAGCGTTCAGACGGTGACCACTTCCGTTACTAGCCAGAAGCTGTACTACTAGCTGCTGGCATTGAAAGCAAATTTTTAGCGACTGCCACTTTGTAAAGATGAAGTAAATGCTTCAACCTCCCCTCGTCTTCTACAGAGCTTTCTTTTCACTTCTCTCTTGATGTCCTCCTTTAATAATGCATAAATAAACGGATTAATAGCCGAGTTCGCTACCATTAACAAACGGGATGAAAGTACTGTTCCAGAAGAAATGGGACACGACAGTTTAAAATAACTGCAGAAATGTCGATATGCGGATATCAACCAACACAACACAAATATCAGCAAAACCAGACTAAAGACCCTTGTTGCCGATCTTTCTTGCTTCATTCGTCGTGAATTTAAAGCTCTCGATCTCCCTGCGTTCTGTTCCACACACAGGGCGCGGATTTGCCGAGAATGTTTTCGAGAAACTACGAAAATGTGTCCATAGATGAGCAGCATTACGACACACGGAAGGATGTTAAAGCTGACGATTTGGATTGTTCCATAGATCATCTCTGCTCTCTTTTTCCGCTTCGCTGATTTAGAGATAATCCAAGCGAAGGGAATGACTGAAAAGGAAATTGGAATCATCCAAGCCGCGACTATCCACTGAAGAACACGCGAGTTGGTCATGTTCTGGAAATAGGTCAGCGGTTTTACAACAGAGAGGTAACGGTCAGCGGTCATCGCACACATGTTGCCAATGGAAACGAACAGCAAAAGGTCAAAGAAGAGGATCATAACTGCGTCGTTGCAATTCGTTAAAAGAGAGCAAGATGTAGAAACGGGAATCACAAATACTCCGACCAAAAGATCAGCGACAGAAAGGGACAGAATAAACCAGTTAGACGTCGTTTGAAGCCGGTGGCGCGTGGCAATGAGGTAGATTACAGGACCATTTCCCGCCAAAATCACCAACCCAATTATCCCTCGTAGAAACCAATACCATATTCCGACTCCATCGTCGAATTTTGGCGTTAGCGCCGTTTTATTGGAAATATTAACGTTTTCCATTTGCGTCTGTCATAGGAACTTCATCCTGCTACTACATAGAAAAAAAAATTAAATTAAACAGTGTCATCACTTTTTGCTCAGGTCTTAATTCACTCTGTCTTCCCTGTGGTATAGGATCTGCAAAGAAAATCAATTAGTTGTGATTGCAGCGATAGGTAGATTTTCCGTGATGGAAAAAAAGGTGTGATCGAATAACACCTACTACATCTCGTGTCTGGTGCCTTTTAACAGGATAAGTAAAACTGACACGTTTCTAATTTCTCAGATTGATATCTTTCCTCATTTAATTAAGCAAGAATAATCAGTTTCCTTTTTTCAGTTACGCAAACTAACTTACGTTAAAATTTTTAGTTGATCCAGTGGGGTTCATATGCTTTTTTACGTAAGAGACAAACCTAAAAACATCTAGATGTTCTTCTTATCAAATCCCTGAGCTTCGGCTTTTTAAGCCTTCAAGCGACAGCAGGAAATCCGTCTGAATTCGATCGTTGAGATTTTTTCTATTGTAGTTGAAGGACTATTTGTTTTTTATTCAATTCGAAGATATTAGAAAACCGGCGTTCCGTTTGACCAGCTGCCAATTTCAGTAAAGAGACTAAAAGCGTAGATTACAAAGATAGTCATGAGAAGGCGGCTTTTGTGTTTTTTTGCTGTTAAAAAATAAAAGGGTTAATTTGCTTCCCCAAAGAGAAATAAGAAAAAATAACTGTTTAGTCTTTGAACGAAATTATGCACTGCCTTTCTCGAATGAATTTTGTAGTGCAGCCAATGTGAATGTGTAGATGTTTCCTTGGGAATTAACAAAATGTTGCTTTTGTTATATGCTTGAGGATTTAATAGATTGAGCTAACATTAGCAATTTTTGTCTTATTTAACGTGCTTTCCCCATCCGCGAGGCACAAGTTTGGATAGTCATTGCACTGCTGAACACTACCACTTTCACATAAAATCAGCAACAAACTCTTTCAGCAAGAGATCAATCTTCACACAGTCTTGAAAAATCAAAATCTATTCTTTTCTTTTCCAGTTTTTTCCGGTTTTCTAAGTCAAAAACCAAATAAGCAATCAAGAAAAAGAAACTCGACAGCAGTTGTACTTCATTTTGTGGCAGCAGCACAAGAACACGATAACTTAAACGAATACTTTCCGTTACCAAATTTTAGCAACCTGATTGAACTTTAAGCAGCCGGCCTGATAAAAATTTGGCTGAGAAAACAAATGTACATCACCGTTATACAGGAATCAAAAAACACTGATTTATGCATTTCTCAACTTTTTAACTTAAAAGGTACTCACCAAAATGGTATAAAGAACATACCAATAAAAAAATTGGGCAAAGGAGAAATACCATATTCGTATAGTAGTAGTTACTGACTTATTAATTTTGGAAAGAGAGTATTACGCGAGGCTTTGTAATCGCGACTGCGATAGGGGAAATGAAAAATACTGTGTCAGTGATGTCGATGCGTAAGCTTTACATAAATATGTTATCTTTCATCATATTTATCAAGTTTGTTTTAATTCGAATTTCTTACCATATAGCACTAGTATTTGTTTGGGGTGTGCATTTTATTTGGAGGATTTTTATGCGTGTTTAACCATGAAGTGCGAGTAAGGTAGTTTCAGTTCCATACCAGATTGAGGATAAGGCTGGGTTTCATCAAGCACTTCGTTGATCGTATTCAGGAATAAGAATATGCGAAAATTTGGTTGCAAATCTCTTGTACCGCGATTATTGGGCCGCTTGTACGCTACATATACCGGGTTATGTTATTTCAAGCAGATTTCTAGCTATTGCAAAGCAAAGAGCGCCAAAACGAGTGATTTTTAGGGTTTATTTATTTTATTCTTATTTTGGAATAGGGTCAATCAAACACGTCTCCCATAGAGTTTTGTTTACTCACAGAACTACTATATTCAACATTCCAGTTTTTATCAAAATGCATGGACTTACCGATAACGTGATGAGTCAGGTCGTAAAAGCTTGTTTTCTAAGAACAGAAAGAACGCTGGTTGATATCCTCGTGTATTTTTTTTTTAAACATGAGAACTCATTTCCCGTGTTTGCGTTCCTTTCAATTTATGTTGGAACTCGGTGTATGACAGCGTTAAAAACAGCTGACTTTATATAGCAAATAAGAAATTACTCTCTATAGACATTTAATCAAGACCAAACCAATGCTGCTTCGATTTTAGTAATTTTTAAACTTCTAGCCTTGTGATGTTCATGCCTTTCATTAATTTTCCGCCGCCTANTCGGTGTATGACAGCGTTAAAAACAGCTGACTTTATATAGCAAATAAGAAATTACTCTCTATAGACATTTAATCAAGACCAAACCAATGCTGCTTCGATTTTAGTAATTTTTAAACTTCTAGCCTTGTGATGTTCATGCCTTTCATTAATTTTCCGCCGCCTACATCCTTTGCCCCTTATAAAATTGACATTTAGAAATGTTAAAACTCACAACATAATTAAAATTTGACGTTCAGCCTCTTTTATGCAATTTCTACGGCTTCCCTTGTTTATAGCCCCCAGCGAACAATTAAGGGTGACAAGATTTCTTGTGAGTCTTATTTTAACGGCGAAATGAAAACTACACTGTTAACGGAAACATTACTGATAAAATGTACCCATGTTAAGATCCAGGATAGAAAGATCTTGTTGGGTTGGCCTTCCGCTCCAATTTGGATTTAACAAATTCATTTCCAGTATATTTGATACACGAAAACGAGAAACAATTTTTATTCATATATGGAATGCGTATTCAAGTACGTGCGAACAGGCAAAGTAGGCTCGCGCGCTTCGCGCGCGTGAGATTCTTACGCTGTTCTTACGCTACGCTAAACCGATATTTAAACCCGACTGTGGGAGGCTTGTACTTGTACTTGGAAATTGCCCTCAAATACTAAATAAAACAAAGCAAAAACATATAAATGTTTGTATTTGCCAAAGAACTATAACGCGTGCCAAATGATTGCAGTTAGAAAGTGTCACAGTTTATTGCTGTTAGAGGCCGTAGTTCCCCTTCACTCTTGTCACGGATTTCCTTGGTCCATATAGACAATGTACGTGCATGGCTGCGTTTTAGAGGGCTACATCCTCAAGGCAAGTTTCAGTAAAAACTTTTTGCAAATTACTGACATAAATTTCCCTCCAACTATGTAAGCTAGCCCAATCGTTTTTAAGACGCAAATTTCCCTCCAAGTATAAGCCAAGCCGATTTTGAAACGTAATCTTCCAAAAATAAGCCCCTCAAAAACGGCCTTTGAAAAATATAAGCCCCGGGGCTTATTTTCGGAATTTTACGGTAGATCATTACATGGCCGCTTATTGACACCAAAAATTACCTTCTCGGTCGTGCTGTGCTCTGCAATTATGAAATATTTTACAACACTCAACAAAAATTTCGTATCTCCGAGAGGACATGTAATAGCCTCTATTTAATCTCAGCGCTTTGTTGTCTCTTTGTTCTCGATCTTAAATTGCTGGAGTTCCTTAGCCAAGAGTCCTTTTGTACCAAAAATGCAGCCTGAAGCACATACTGGGCGAACCCCACAATCTGGACGGTCAGCTTTCATGGCAATACCAAAGCGAGCGGATCTGACATACTGCATACGATTGCAACCCCGCCGTTTGATACCGATGCCCTAGGCAAGTTCAATCTGTTGGCTGGGAATTAACAAAGCAGATCTTCCACCGAGGAAATATAAGTACAAATTCTATGCTTTTCTCTATTTAAGTTTTTGTGGAGAAATTCCAGGGTTACCCAACGTCAATTTTCGGAAAATATCTGTCCGGAAGATGATTTGAGATCTAGAATTTTCGGAACATTTGTTGTAAAATTTCTTGCTTGCCTGCCTTTCCTAAGATTTTCGAACATCTAAAGATGGTATGATTGCCGATTTTTAACGGATTTTTACCCCAAAAAGGTCACCTAGAATTTTCGGGAGCTTTTTTTGCGGCTGAAATTTTCAAAAAGGTAAGTTTTGATCCCTGTGATTCAGTTCGGATCACTAGATTTTCAGCTGGGAAATCCGAACAGATGAAAACTTTTTAGGAGATAAAAATATGCCTATATCTACCGTTAAAATACTAAAATACGTTTAACAATGCTATGTTTAAGTGGTTTTGAACTATGTTCTCGTTGGGTGCCCCTGAAATTCTAATACGCATTATATGTGTTCAGAATCTTCCGGTCGAGGTTAATTTTCAAGTATAGGAGTCTGCAATGACAGGTCTGCGGCCATAGAAAGAGGCATCATTGACGCAGGAATTGCGTCTAAAGAGCCTCCTCTTTACTTCCTTTTTTATGTCCTCCTTTAGAAAAGCGTAAATAAATGGATTGATAGCCGAATTTAACAACATCAAGAGTCTTGATGCCGACACTGTTCCAGAGGAAATATGACATGGAAGTTTTAAGTAATCACAGAAATGTCTATACGCAGATAACATCCAACAGAACAAAAAAAATATTACAACCATTCCAAAAACTCTTGTTGCAGACTTTTCCTGCTTTATTTGTCGCCTAGTCAACATTTCAGAATCCTCACTGTTGAGTTTGACGGTAAACGCACGAATCTGTCTCGCGTGCTTATGAGAAATGTGAAAAATGTGTCCGTAGACAAGGAGTATTGTGAGGCAAGGAAGAACGTTGAAGGTGATTATTTGAACAGTTCCATAGATTCTGTTTGTATTTTCCTTTTTATTTTGCGACGATGAAAACATCCACGTGAAGGGAATGAGTGTGAAGACGATTGGTATTAACCAAGCTGCAATTATCCAAAGGCGAACGCGCGAGTTGGTCATGTTCTGCAAATAGGTCAACGGTCGTACCACAGAGAGGTACCGGTCAGCGGTTATGGCGCACATGTTGGCTATGGAAACGAAAAGTAAAAGGTCAAAGTTCAACTTCATAACCGAAATGTTGCAATTCGTCCACAGGGCGCAAGAAGTGGAAACTGGGATCAGAAAAACCCCAACGAAAAGATCAGCCAAAGAAAGGGAGAGAACGAACCAGTTAGAAATTGTGTGGAGTCTGTGACACGTGACTATGAGGTAAATTACCGGACCGTTTCCCGCCAAAATTAGCAGGCCAATTAATCCTCTTAAAACCCAGTACCATACACCAACTTCTCCAGAGACTCGTGATGCCTTGAATGAAGTCGTGTCATTAAACGTGAAATTTTCCATGTATCAGTAGTGTTTGTTTGTCGCTTTGAATACTGTAGAGCGAAAGAGAAATCAACAATTAGTCAATAAGAATTGTCCACGCAAATTTTCAGTGGGTGAAAAATAAAAATATATATACTACTTAAAACAGAGAAGAAACGTTGAAATAACACAGCAGGACATGGGAGAATTAAACAACAGAGAGGGAAATTAAAACAGACTGCAATAGCCCACTTTCGAGTTCCAAAATCCCTCACTTTCAAAATGAGGCAAAGTGCACAACCTTTCTTGTGAAAATGAGTTTTATTTGCATGAGAATGAAAATCATTTCCATATCAAACGCTGAGCACTTAACCTCGTTTTGATACAGAGGTGTGAGGGAACTCGGAAATGGCCTGTTAAACTCTTTTCAGTCTTATAAGTCAATAATTTTTACAGATTTTGACTTTTGAATCTTAGATTTCTTAGTGTTATTTTCCTCTTTCGATTTTATTTTTTATTTTTTTAGCTATTTATGAGATAATTACAGGACCCTTTTGATAACAGTTCTTTTTATTAGAACTGATTGATAGGTTTATCCTGAATAAATATTCGCGTTATTATTATTATTATTAAAGTGTTTGAAAATTGTTGAGCGTATCATTTTTTTCCTTTGTTTGTAACTTAAATTTGAATTATTCTCAGTACCTGAAATAAAGCAAGAATAATTTCATAACAATAGATATCCACAATTCCTGGCGTTGTATATATTACCACCATTCTTCCTATTGTGTGCATTTGTCCAATAACATCTCAGAGGGGCATCAGCGCCCCACCCTCCCAGCCCCAACAGGAGCCGATTCCCACGGTATGACGCCGTGCCCTGCCTTCAATGCATGTGAATGTACCGCTGTCCACACCTGTGGACAACGACCATTTTGACCCCTGCATATCTCATTGTATATTCATGTGTACTGTAGGTAGTGAGAATGTGTTACAATAAACAAAGGACGCCTGGACAGGGAAAGAATTGTCCGCCATTTTCCTCCTTCCATGTTGCCTAGCATCGCGCAACGTTACCCTTTTTTCATGCAGTCATTTACCTCGTCTCGCGCGAGTTTCGAGGCAACTCTCTCGACCACACTCTTCGGTGTAAACCGAAAATACACGTTGTAATTATCACTATCATTATTAAAGGCTCGTAAATACGACTATATTTGTTTTTTGGCCCTTCGGTGCTCTTTTTAGCCTGGTTTAACGAGCGAAAGTCTGTCTGGGGACAGACGCGTCTGTCTGTCGGTATTATAAAGTGCGTCTGATGAATTAAACGGAAGATTAACAAAGTATTCATTTCTAGCTTCCTGGTTCATCGGGAAAAATGCTTCTGGTTGAAAAAGTGAGTTCCTTAAAACTTCGCCCAGTTTAGAGATATCACAGGCCTCGCGATTTTCCGCCCGCTGTTTTTGTTGCGTTAATATATTTGTTGATGAACTAAAAATTGTTTTTGGTGTCTCAATTGAGTGAAATTAGCGGCTTACCTGATAATAGCTATGAAAGCTCAAAAGTGCGCCTTGAGTTTTGGTCAGCAATATATTTCAACATATTTTCGTCAAAGGATATCGGTTATTATGCGTAAAAACATGTTTATAAATGTTTTGGTTTTGATCTAAGTGTGTCATAAGTACATTAACATACAGAAAAGGTGTTGTTTGCTTTCAACAGGAAACACAACTTGACGTTCAAAGACATTTATCAATGGCCACTTTTCTTTTTCTATTTGAAACTTCTTGTTTAGTTTTTCACAACGAACGCAACCAGTCTTCGATAAATGCGCGACAAGTCAGAATTTTAAAAAAAAATACCATCGCTTACCGAGGAGTCTAGTAAATAGCATTTATTAACCTAGGTGAACTTTTTAATTTTTTTATACAGTCGACTCCCGATAATTCGAACCTTCAAGGGAATAAAAAAAGTTCGAGTTATCGAGTGTAAAATTATATAAAAAATGATCTGAGGGGAAATGAAAATTGCTTCGAGTTAGCGGGAAGTTCGAGTTATAGAGGGTTCGAGTTACCGGGAGTCTACTGTAGCTCATCAGCACTTCAGACGGATTTTAATTTGTCTTCCTAAGAGCTATCTACTTCCCGTCTTCGGTTATTTACAAAGCTAACTGAATTGATTTTGATCAAAGTTGGGGGAAAAATACACAGAAAGTAAGTAAAATGAGAGTTGGTGATAAGGAGGAAAAACTGAAGTCCAATGTCAGTTTAGTTCCCATTTTCAGTACGGAGGTTTTCTAGCGACAAGCGATCATTCTTGTGTCTTCGTGCGTCCTGCCTCCTGCCAGGCGCTTAGCTTTTACAGGCGAGAGTGAAACGTGAGTGCCGTCTCGTCCGTTTTCTCCTCACCGCCTTCCTGTGGGCGCAAGTTTACAGCGAGAGAGATACATTTGGGTACGAGGCAGGTCTTAAGTCATTGACAAGTGCGCACGCAGCTATGCGACATTCCATCTACCCAAAAAGGTGCCATTTCACCAAAAAAAATAATAACAATAATAAAAGGAAATAGGTTTGTTTGTGGAGACAGAGCAGCTGGCTTACATGATATAATCTGAGATAGAAAGAAAAAAGCCTAAGATGATGGATCCGTCTGTGATCTGGGCAATAAATCGACAGTTAGTTATAGGCCGGTTCCGAGAGCTTCAATGAATATTTCTTTCGGTGAGCTTTCCTTTGCTCTTTTCTTTTCGTCTTTTGTTTTTTCTCTTATTCCAAAATGAAATTTCTAACAAAATGAGTTGGAGATCGACTTTTCCACTGCAACACCGTGACACCATTTCATCTTTGCAAGCTGTTGAGCCACTTGCGATTAACATCATTGCCCTCAGATTTGCCTTTTTTTTCAATTTTCATAGAAATAATAATGATAATTATTATTTATTTTCAAATTGTTTCTTGAGTTTTTCTTTTTTAAAAAAGGTGAAAGAAACCGCCTCATTCAATTAAAACAGCCGTTTTTTTCGTGGGTTGTCATAAAGACGCGGACATGTAAAACGGAAGCCTGCGGGAACAAGGATAAAAACGGAGAGTGACTAATGACTGGCAAACTACGCACTTCGAAAAACCGATTTTTGAAAAAAAAAACAATGATACAAAAGAAAAGAAAATCAATACAATGACGATAGACTATCAACGTTAGTGGAAGACACATTCTACCCTTTTGTCCCAACTGGCTGAGCTTGTTTTGAGTTGAGATTTTACATGACTCGTAATTTTAAAGTTCATTGAATAAAAGGGAAACAATTTGGGGTTTGAAAAATACTGCCGAAATAAAGTAAAGATAGTTTGCTTTCACACCCTATACCCACTAGGCATTTGTTGGTAATTGTTGTTAGCAGGTTTGTTTTTATCGTATATGGCTTGTCTCCTGTTTATATACACTTGCGGTTTCAACTATTCCTCTTACAGTTAGTTAACAGTCCTACGTAAAGCCCCCCTCCTTTATTGAGCCCTTGTCCCTTGGAGTCAATCTGTAAAACAATAGATCAGTTCGAGCTAGTTCGATAATTTTGCTTAGGTAGCTAGAGATAGCCTACGTGTAGTCGCACCCTCCCCTCCCAGTTTTTCCTTTGTCGGGGGGAGGGTGTGGCCTACACGTAGGCTAAGCTGGAGGAGGTGAATTCCAAACTTTGTTTCGTACGTGCTAACTTTACAAGTGTCGCTGTATCGCCAATCGTGACGATAAGGATGATAATGGGAAAGATTTGACCAGCCCTGGAGGCCTTTCTTAAATCACGTACTGCAACATTGCGTTGACCGTTGTATCTTAAATCTTCATTGGTATACATCTAAATTGTTACGAGCCCTTTTTTGAATCTCACAGACTGCAATCAAAGTTCTTTGATGCTATTATTATGGATTTGGGAGCTTTACAAGCTTTCTAAACTAAAAGCAATCGTATTTTGGTCTTTTTCTTGTCAAGGAACCTGGAGGAGCTCTTCCTTTGCGAGCGGTTTACTTTTCTGGATACTCGATATAAATATTAGTGCAAGAATGAGTTGCGCAAAAACCTCGCTGGAGTGTACTATCAGGTGTAATAACTCGGCTTCGCCTCGAGTGTTTAATCCTGCTCATTTTTTAAACAGTACATAATACGGACAGTCCTTTAATACGGAAGGGTTCTATGGCCCGCTCAGCGTCCGTATTATGAACGGGGTTTGACTGAATTTGTTTTCTTTTCCTCTTAAGCTAATGAAAATGCAAATTAGTAATAAAAATTCTGTTTCCACTAGATATTGGATTATCAGGGGATGAAGCTGAGAGACTAACTGAGGAACACTACTGCACCTATCAATCAAACAGTTCAAACAGTAAAATAATCTTGACTTACCAGTCAAAAATTCAATGTCAATTCAAATAACTTTGCTTCTTTTGTATATTTAACAGTTTTAGAACCCTGAAGAAAGACAGCAAAGAATTTAAAAGAAAGAAGTCTAGTTCCATCAAGGTATGATAGTTAAACATTTATAAAATTTAAGATGAAAAGATTCGAACTGAATTCAAACTACCCCCATTATTCATCGGTATTCATTTATACACGCGAACGACAAACTCCTTGTCACGAAAATTCAGTAACTCTAATTTAACACATATTTTAAGTTGAAAAAAAAAAAGAGGACGACGAAAGCCCCTTACCTGATTTCTACGCGTCTTGTGCTGCTTGTCTTAATCTTGCGCTTAAGCTTACTTCTTTCTATTCACCGAGCGCACGGAAGTATTTGTGGCAAATTAGACTGTTATTTCGAACATGACAAGGCAGGTGTGGGGAAACCAAATAATGATATGGTATACTTTGAAAGGTCTGATATCATTTGACGTTTTTGGACGGAAGCAATCTGAGCGAATTGACGTGAGTGCTGTGTCAGCTTTCAATTTCACAGCGAATCAGTTCAAATGCTACGTGCAAGTTCTTTCGAAAACGTCAGCACGAAATTGCTTAATAAACCATTTAATAAAAACTTATCTCTTTTGATAAAAACACAGCGAGCATTGCTTTTACAAGCTCCCTAATCTTTGCTGGGGCGAAACTGTAAAGAGAAGTACGAAAGACGGGAATTTAAGACAGAAACAAAACTGGGAAAGACGACTGAATTTTTTTTTTTATAAACCACTAGATAAGTACTTGCGTATTTTATCTTCAGCGTTCAACAAGCCCCCTTTGTCTTTCCTTCGACGAAAGTAAAAAGAGGCTCGAAACTTCTGCAAGAAGACTAAAGCAAAAATTTACCAAAACAGGCGTTCCTTTCGTTGCGAAATAAAGTGATGTCAGAGTGAGTATAGTTGACTGATGACAACGCATTTTGTCATTCCGATAAGCTGTCTTAGTTTGAAAGAGGAAATAAACTTCTCTTGTCGGGTTTTTAAATTGCTCAGTATTAAAATCAATTCACGGACAACCACGAAACGGTTTCTCATCTTTCATTCAATTTCAGTTTCCTCTGCATGCAATTTTAGAAGGCCTAGTTTTGATAGCAAAAGCATGTAGCTTGCGAGCATCCTCTCTTAATAGGCACCAAAAGCATGTTCTAAGAAAACCACGAGGATTTTGCTTAGCACGATTTTAATTCCCCCCTGGCATGAATTCGCAGTGAGTTGAAACAAGAGTCCCACTAAAACTTCCTGAGAAGTTTAAAATATACTTTACAAGGGATGTTACACAACTAAGGGATGAAAAAAGATAAAAATATTTCTCTGTTGTGCCAGTGATTCTAAGCATTATGATCTTGCTAGGAAGATTGTAAGTTAGGCGACATGATCATGCCCGTCTTCAGGCAGGATTCTCTCTTGAGGCAGGCTATAATTAGGGACAAAAGTAGTTGACACACTTGTTTAAAACGTGTGCTTTTAACAAACATTTAATTCATTTATTATTCATTCCTTTTAAACGCCGTAAATCCTCTTACCCCCCGAATCAATGTTGTCTGAAGTAAAAAAAAAAAAGACTTGAGGGTCCAAAATTCAACATTGAATTGGGGGGAAGGGGTAGGGTAGACAGGGAAATGGGATAAGTATATCCACTATGCGAAAAGGGGCCATTTTACGGAAGTGTGTCAACACTTTTGTCCCTCATTGTGTAGCTTTTTCCAGGCTCTGAGATAGTCGGGCCCGCTTTAGAATGCTCGAACACGAAAATTAATCAAAAGAAGAGAAAACCGGGAACACGATATTGATATCAAGATCACACGCACCTTTTTTCGCTTGCCTTTCACCTTACGCTTCATCCCTACTATCTAAGAGCCTGGAACAGGCTACAGGCTGGCGGATTCTGCAAGCGCTGTTCGGGAAGTCATCTTATTCTTCAAAACCAAACTTTTCAGCCGCACGGCTTGAACTTGAGGCGACTTTTCCCTCTGGAACGATTCGCAAAGACGACTTTCAGGGCAGCACATTGTTGCAACATTGTTGCGATATTGTTTACAATTGTTACAAAATTGTTCCAACATTGTCGCCCAAAATAGTGTCTTTGCAAATCGTCTCGTATATCAACTCCTTTAGGAATTACATTTTAAGCTTAAGAGCGTGCTCCAAACGACATTTGAATTACATTACGCGTGCTTTAGTTTAATCTCACCAATGCTCAGTGGCCCGAACGTCTTAATTTTAATAACGTTTATTTTCTCGCTTAAAAATACTTTTTAACTATAAAATACAAGTTTTCATTGGCGCTACACTGTTTTGAAGTCAGTACCCTCTAAAAATCAATCTACCCACCTTCATTCCCCACCCCCACCCCGTTTGCCAAATGAATTAACGTGTGAAGTCTTTTTTCTGTTTGTTGAGGTCTGTGTTGCTCATGCAAGTTTCCAAACTTCTTAGTTCAATCGAAGATAAAATGGTCAATTCTTTAGCTGAAATATAATGTAAGCAGCCATTTTATTTTTAATTACTTCTCTTCCAGAGAAACACAACTTTATCTTCTTAATGTGGGGGGGCGTCTAACTAAGATATACAGGCACAATTATATTACTGGCACCTGATGGGCAATATTTATCAGTCACTTGAATAAAGTGTACGTGCGAAATTTCCATCTGTCTATATAAATCAAAACAAAAGTTCTCCTTCAATTTCAAGAAATGGCAGTCAACATTGGGGTCCATTGTAGATACGTTCAGTTTTCGTGTCATCTCAGTTCCTTTAAAGGATACTTTTTTCCAAGAAAATACAGCTGAAGTTATCTTTTCGGATATTTCGGGGGCAGAAAATCTTAGCGGAGGAAAGGCTTATCACTCGAATCACCTTAATCTGAGAATCCTTGTTCACTTAACGGCAACTGCAAAAACTGTCGAAATCTTTATCTCCTTACTTTCTTCCTTTCTTGTCGAGTAAAAGCAAGGCTGGAAACTCGCCGTTGCGAGACGTTCTCTTCCTTTTTTAGGGTGTGTTATAACTAAAAGAATTTGTCTAGCAATATACTGAAACAACAACAAAAAAATTGTCTAGTGACACCGTCATCATTAAAAAAGCATATGCAAGAAGTGCGACAACCTGGAGTCAGATATATTTTAATATATGAGTTGGTTAAAAATGGTCCAGGTACAGCCGTTGCGACGCGAGATTTAATTCACTGGTATTAAAGAATGGTTAACTGCTTCTCCCGGACCGACTAAAGACACGCATACCAGGCCAAAGCGGAAAATATCATTGTCTATTTGGTGGTGCTTCGTGTAAACCTGACTTTTGCGTTAGTTTTTGTTCATATCATGATCTACACGTCGGTGCAGTGTGTGCAAATTTATAAGAAGCTGATGCATTGCACAAGCAAATCATGGAAAAGAACAAAAGACATTGCAATGAAGCAATAACCGGACAGGAATTTAGAGAATATTATGGCATTTTCCGCTTTGGCCAATACTTCACTGAAACGTGGACACCACTGATGACTGCTCTTATTAACATGTTAAGTAGAGCAACAAGGCAGTTTATTTTTCCGATGTTTTCCCTTCTCGCCCTCTTCACTCGTTAGATTAACAGACCCATTCATTCCATTTTGAATTGCATCCTTTAATTGTTCGGGCGGGGGTGGCAGCGTATTTTTTCGTGGTTTTGCCTTTTCTCGTTCCTTAACTCCTTCGTAAATTTCCATGACGAGGTCTTCAAATGCCTCCCTAACGTTCGTGGAATCCAGCGCAGAGGTCTCCATGAATAACACGCCGTGATCGGTAGCAAATTTCTGGCCTCTCTTTGTTTCTACTATTCTAAGATGCTTGAGGTCCGATTTATTGCCAACTATAATGATACACAAGTTAGCATCAGTATGCTGTTTAAGTTCAGCAATCCACTTGTCGAGGTTCTGAAATGACGTCACCTTAGCAATATCGTATACCAAAATGGCTCCCAGGGCTCCACGGTAGTAAGCGCTTGTGATAGCCCGGTATCGTTCTTGGCCTACAGAGAGAGAGAGTCCAAAACAAGATTTTCAGGAAAAGTTATCAAGGACAAGTATGTCAAGTATCTACTTGGTATAGCAATATATATATAGCAATCGTTTTCACATGATTATCAGAGAAAGTATTAATAGTATCAGGGCACACTCATCTTTCCTTTGTCCTCCTCTTCTAAAGAAATGCAAAATTTATTTATCATTTTTCTTGTAGGACATTTTTCAGCTCTAGCCAAAATTTTCTGTTAGTTCTTTAGGAAACATGCGCAAGTTGGATAGTCATCATTTCAAGTTGAAGCTGTAAGTATGTAGGCCGTGGTTTGCTCTGTATTTTTTGAACCGTAAGCAATTTTTTTGTTCCCGGACCCTAAACTTTCTACGAGCTAGTTTATTGATTACGTACACGCATAAAAGATTGCGCTTTTGTTGTTTAGTTCTGTCCTAAACAAAAATTCTCTAAAGCAGTGATTTCCAGATAATCTGTGAAGGCCTGTGGTACGATCGGGAACTTTCGAGTCTGATGACGTAACTCCGATTCCATACACCGTGGCGACCGTAAAAACACCGCCATGTGTTGGTGAAAAAATGGCTCCAAGACCATACCCGCCAGGATCGTGACTAGTTTGTATGCGTTAGACAGTCACTTAAATAAACTCTTGCTGTTACATAAAAGGTTATTTATAGTTCTCAATCCTGTTATGCACTGTTTTTTATTTTTTGAACTTTTAATTTCCACCACAAGAAAATGAATGTCAAATGAATGTTAAATGAATGTCCAAACTGATAAGTATATTCCAAGGAAAACAGTGAACTTATACATTGTGCATACCATTTATCGTTACATTTCAATCTTGCACACCAAAAAAGAGACCTCACTAAGTCGAGGACACACAAGGAGCCAAGCAAATATCACGTTTGACAAGTGTTAAGCTACAGTAAGTTGTTTTGTTCAGGTCTTTTGACTACAGTTGAAATAGTTGTCATAGTTATGTAAATTTAGAAAAGGGTTCCTTTTGAAAACAAAACATTTCGCGTCAAAAATCATAGTTTCGGCACACATACATACGTCATTAATAATGTCAGCCTACATGCGTTACTTTTATCTATATAATATTGCGATTTTTAAAAGATTAGCAAAAGAACGGGTTTCTGAAGACCTTGATTTTTATACACTTCAATGCCGAACTCGCATAATACTCTAAACTTAATTATGCGTTGTACATATGAACCAATAATTCTATTTGTTCTATCAGGTACGGGTAATTATTTGAAGTTTTATTACTGAAATATTGGATACACCTGAAAGTTAAGAGATTAAGAAAGGTACATCTATATTATGAACCAATACAAGAAACATGTTTACGCATTTTCAAAGCTAATAATGTTTAAGCGGGTGGCTAGGAAGCGATAATTATCGAGAAATTTCTGTTTAGTATCGAGACCTAATTTACAATTTATTGAAGACATCAAACTAATTTTTATTAAGAAACGTTGTGTGGGAGTTCGATTTAAGTGCAATAAAATCACATTAATTTTGTACTTGTTACATCTCTATTGTTCGCTTTTCATGTGTCGGAAGAGTTTAATAAATTAAACCAAATATTCTTGAGTTGACAATCAGATCTAGAAAGTGTAGGGCCTTAAGGATATGACGGGGTGAAACCCCTTTCAGTTTTAGAAAAGTGCTACCTATATTTCTAGAACAGCAGATCTGTCGGTGGGACAATTAAAAGCAATCTAATTATATTTTTAAATTTTGTACATTTACAAAGAAAGAGCAGTAATTAAAAGACTTGCCTGCAGTATCCCAGATTTGTGCGCGAATATTTTTGCCGTCTACTTCAATATTCTTCTGGGCCAGCTCTACTCCAATCGTTGCCTTAGATCCGAGGTGAAATTCATTTTTGGTGTACCTTGATAACAGGTTGGATTTCCCGACGCCAGAGTCTCCGATCAAAACGATTTTAAATAAGTAATCGTATGCATCTTCTACACTCGCTTGTCGATGCATTGTCCGTTACTGCATGTCAGATAATGGCGTCTGTCAAGTCATCGAATCTTGCCCCTGGCTGTTCTAAGGGAGGCTTGAGGCTTGGTCTTTTAAACTCCAGAAATATTCTAGTAAGGTTTTATGTTATGGAAATTTGTTCCAGGGAAGCTGAAATAAGATCACAAAATAGTTGAAAATTAGTACCAAATGACGCTTTCATTAAGAACCTCGAAAGCAACGATGGCAACCTACAATGTCGATTTCTTTTTTTCTTTCCTCAATTACGTGCAAAGAAACGCACGCGTGAAAACAAATTTGCTGTGTTAAGAAAAAATTGCAGCTTTAAACTATTACCCAGTTCATGACGTATTTCCTTGAAGTCAAATATAGGAATTACCCATGAATTTATACTATGTTAACAATGTCTTTTTAGCGCGAATCAGTAAGAACATTTACCCACTGGTTCCTTTATACACAAACCTTTGTTGCTTAAAGAATGATTAAAGAAAAAATATCCAAGTCTCGCTCAAAAACCCGCAAAAAGATAGATCGCTAAGCTACTGTACTTTGTAGTAGTCCTTAGCATTCAACCGCGCTCACCTGGGGGATTCGTATTGTTGTTTCCGAGCTCAGCGTTGCACTTTTATAAGGTTCGCTTAAAAAGGAAACTTCACCAGAAACTGAACCAACACCGATGCAGTTTCGAGCTCATGTTTTCCACTGTAAACTAGCTTTCAAAACAAGGCGACCTCAAGGTTAGCCTCCATGATTTTTTCTACACAGCGCCTTCTCGTTCGAGAGTTGTGTATGTTTTCATGCACACTATTGACTATGCTAATCAAGTATAGTGTCCTCATCTTTAAACATAAGTTCGCGCAAGCGGTCTGTCAGGACAGGTGACTCGATTTAATTAGCTGAATGAGTAGAGATGACGGAGCCAGCGAGTCCTGGAGGAGTTTAGGCACCCTTCAAGTTAAAAACTTGAAATTAAAAACAGATAAAAAATTATAAAAATGAAAAGCAACTCGATTATTTTTGGATTAAAACGGACAAAAAGCAAGTCAAATTGTGTACGCTAAACTTATTTCAGGAAAAAATATCGTAAAATTCCGAAAATAAGCCCCGGAGCTTATATTTTTCAAAGGCCCTTTTTGAGGGGCTTATATTCGGAGGGGCTTATCTACGGAGGGAAATTTGCGTTTCAAAATCGATTGGGCAAGCCTTATAGTTGGAAGTAAATTTACCGTTTTTGCTTTATTTTACTTTGTATTTGAGAGCAAATTTCCACGTAAAATCCCCCGGGGGGCTTATATTTGGAGGGGCGATTTAACGGAGGGTTTTTCGCGTTACCAGTTTGGGGGGCTTATATTTGGAGGGGTTATACATGGAGGAGCTTATTTTCGGACTTTTACGGTATACTCTCTACACAGACTTAGCGGGAATGCATAGAGGAATGCGATATGGCGAAGGCGACAAGTGCATTAAATGGCGCGAGGCCTATTTCAATTTCAATTCAAACTTCTACACAGTCGAATATCGAGCAATGAAAATTGGAGTAAACAAATGATCCAATCTGATCCTTTTGTATCGAAGAGCTAGAAAAACTGAGGCATCTCTTTTGGTCTTGCTCCAAAGTAACTACCTTCTGGAACTCCTTAATCCAGCTAATTACTTTATTCAAAATTATCCCACAAATTACAGAATAAATATTTCTACAGCCTTTGGATTGACACAAGTTGCCTCCAAAAATTATAATCAAATAATTTCTGTCTATTACCAGCAAGACATTATATTTGGATATCTGAAAATATGAAAGCCTCTCCTAATATACGAGACATTTTACAATACCTTAAATCAAACTATCTACTGGAGCTAAAACCTGGTGCTGGCCCCAGCAAAAGTGGGAGCTACTCCAGACTTTAGTTTGAAGACGTTTATGTTTTTCCCTTCGCTCTTGTTGGTTCCATGCACATAATCGTACAAACGCTCCTTCACTGCCTACTTAAAAGAGCTCAAACGCCTTGTTGATGATGATGATGATGATGATGATGATGATGACGATGACGATGACGATGATGATGATGATGATGATGACGATGATGACGATGATACCTTTAGTAAAATGTCAAAACTGTAATAACGGTGTATAACCACTAAGTGGGGACAAAGAATATAAGAATTAAGAAAAACTATGTACTGTATAAGTAAATAAGAAATTCGGGGGAACTATATACAATATGTACAAATATATCCATTATCTAGGAATAAAAAATTAAGAAATGCAAAGAGAACAGTTAGAGCAGTTATGGTCATAACATGCTAATATCAACTTTTCTGGTATACTTGAAGGAGGACAGCGTGGAAGCTTTTTTCACGTTACTAGGGACAGAGCTCCATACCACTGGGTCCATATACCTGAGCGAGTGCTTTCCAAAGGAGACTGTGTTGAATCTGGGTATAGTGAACTCATGATTGCGCAGTTTATACTTAATTGCAGGCTGTTCAAAGAGAGTGCTGATGTATGTTGGGCACATGTTGTTTTTAACTTTATAGCTGAGAATAGCTATGTCCTGTAGTCGCCGGTTGTGTAGAGTAGATAGCTCAGCCATAGATAGTAATTGACCATAGGACGAATGTTTATCACAATATAGAGTCCTAAGTGCTCTTTCCTGGATACGCTCTAGAATCGCTAGCACGGCAAAAATGCCATATAAGATGACGGTAGGTTAAATACGGGAGAACAGCTGCCTTATATAACTGTAGCTTAGTTTGTGCGGGTATAAGGTTCCTAAGCCTCAAGAGAACGCCTACCCGCTGGGCGCTCTTCTTAGAGATACTACTTATATGTTCATCAAAACGAAGATGCTGACTCAGCCCAAATAGCAAGATCATCATGCACATCAGAGAGGGTGCTGCCGACGGCATAAAACTGGTGGTCATCTGCATACATATTCGTGTTCGCATCAACAGTTTAAGTCAAATCATTTTGGAAGATGTTCCAGATGAGAGGTCCAAATGCAGAACCCTGTGGGCATCCCCAGGCTACCCTCTGCCACTCACTCACTACAGATCCTACCTTGACCCTGTTATAACGGTCTGTGAAGTAGGAGCCCATCAATCGCAGACTTCTTTCCTCAACACCATAAGCTTTAAGTTCTGCAAGTGTAAGTGGATGGTAAAGTGAATCGAAGGCTTTGCTCATGTCCGTGGAGAGAACACTCACAACGTTATGCTCATCCAGAGCGAATTTCTAATTCTCAGGCAAAGACAAGAGAGCTGATAACTTTTTCTGTCGAATGTTTCATTTTCATTCATTCAAATATTACAAACAATGCACAGTTGCATGGTATCAACTCAGTAAGCTAGTTATTATTAGTGTCAACCTGTAAGCTACTTATAGTTAGTACCAACTTGAAAGTTAGTTATTGTTAGTGTCAACTTGTAAGCACCGTTTAAATTATTGCCTCTATGTAATTTGCTGTCTATAAGTACCTGTTAAAAACAAAAGACTTACCATCAGAAGGGTCATCAGGAATGATAGCGCTGTTGTCTTCACTGGTGATAGCGCCACTGGGTTGAATGTTGCGATGGTTACTGAGGAGATTATTAGCAACTGCCAAGCTGGGTGAAGAAACTTTGCAAGACCATTTGTTGATGTCACACAATAAATCAAATGACATGAAAGCTACTCTAGTTTTAGAACCTGGGTTGTGATCAGCAGTATTGATCTTGTAACTTCTTGATTTCTCTCCAGTTACAGTCGCTTGCAAAGAAATGCCAAAACAATTGCACAAAAACACTTCGCAATCCTGTGATTGTTTGGAGGGCAGTTCATCACTTACAACTGTCACAGTGACTTTTTCAGTGGCAAACCCTATGTCATCAGCATTGTGAGGCTGGCAGGTAAAGACAAACTTGGAGGGTTGATTTGTGGGGCAAATGCTGAATCGCCGAGGTAAAGAGGAACCCTCCTGGTATGTATCTCCAAACTGTTCATGCATTTTCTAAGGTTCAAGTCTTTCACTGTCAATGTCCACACTTATGGAAACTGCCTTTCTAGGAACAATTCGTTCAACTATTAAGGGAGCTGTCAAGCCAGCACTGTCAGAGTCAAAATCTGCTGTATTGCTGTTGTCATGGTAACCATGCTGTGGGGTTGGTGGGTCAACATATATTACTGATCCTTTCCCATGCAGATTGACTGAATGTGACGAAGCTGGGTTCACTGTTGAAATCCTTTCATTTTTATTGGAAGTAATCTTCAAGTGCCTCTTGACATTCTTGCGGCAATCACTTGTAACTGTTGGTGGCTTAGTGATGTAACTTTTGATGTCAAAGTTTAGGTTATGTTCATGAAGTTTTGGACTCTGCTCATTTCTCTCTGACCACTTAACTACTCTCATGTTTTTATCAACATTGCAATCAAAACGTTTTCCTTTGGCCATAGTCACATTCTCGTCTCTTCAGCTCAAATTTCTTGTACCCTCTTGTTCTTTTTTCCTTTTGCTTTACACTGTGCCTTTCCAGGTCGAATTTCTCATTGTCATTGTGCTGTATGAAGCTTGGCCAGATTGACGACGGTTCGGTATGATTCACTTCGTAAACGATTTCGGTTTTTTTAGTTTCTTTCGCCGACGTGCGCGAACTTTCGTCGTTTCGGTTTCCGAAACTCCTCACCGTCCACCACTGAGCCTTGCAATCGCCATGTCTCAGCCGAGGAGAAGGACCGAACAAAGAACTATTTACTGACAGCCTTTCCACAAGCACTGCCTTTTAATCATTTTCACTGTCATAATCCTCGGAGATTTCCTCTGTTAAAATCGACAGCAGGAGCCACCTCTTGCGCTTGCCAATGGCATACAACACCGAGTCGTCGAAAAAGCGTCGTCCAAATCAGAAACCCCAGCGTCGGTGATTACGACTTTGTTTTGCCACTTCTTCATCATCTAAGCCGTCCCAGACGTGGAACTTCTTCACATTTCTGTTGATGTCTTTATCAGTGAAATTAATGTTTGTGTTGGCAACCGTTTTTGTTGCAATTGATTTTGATGCTTTACGCCACGATGTGGAAAAATCCAAACTTTGCACAAGGGAATACACTGACCCTAAAGAGCTAACGTCCAGTGACAATTCCACACTAACATCTCTTCTGGACAAGCATGCGCCGATGAAGGAGAAAGTGGTTGTCTGTAGGCAGCGCTTGCTATGGTTTAACGTAATTCCCTTGAAATTGTTCTACTATCAAACTTTTTTTGAAACTTGGCATAATCAACATTCATTATATGNCGATGGTTACTGAGGAGATTATTAGCAACTGCCAAGCTGGGTGAAGAAACTTTGCAAGACCATTTGTTGATGTCACACAATAAATCAAATGACATGAAAGCTACTCTAGTTTTAGAACCTGGGTTGTGATCAGCAGTATTGATCTTGTAACTTCTTGATTTCTCTCCAGTTACAGTCGCTTGCAAAGAAATGCCAAAACAATTGCACAAAAACACTTCGCAATCCTGTGATTGTTTGGAGGGCAGTTCATCACTTACAACTGTCACAGTGACTTTTTCAGTGGCAAACCCTATGTCATCAGCATTGTGAGGCTGGCAGGTAAAGACAAACTTGGAGGGTTGATTTGTGGGGCAAATGCTGAATCGCCGAGGTAAAGAGGAACCCTCCTGGTATGTATCTCCAAACTGTTCATGCATTTTCTAAGGTTCAAGTCTTTCACTGTCAATGTCCACACTTATGGAAACTGCCTTTCTAGGAACAATTCGTTCAACTATTAAGGGAGCTGTCAAGCCAGCACTGTCAGAGTCAAAATCTGCTGTATTGCTGTTGTCATGGTAACCATGCTGTGGGGTTGGTGGGTCAACATATATTACTGATCCTTTCCCATGCAGATTGACTGAATGTGACGAAGCTGGGTTCACTGTTGAAATCCTTTCATTTTTATTGGAAGTAATCTTCAAGTGCCTCTTGACATTCTTGCGGCAATCACTTGTAACTGTTGGTGGCTTAGTGATGTAACTTTTGATGTCAAAGTTTAGGTTATGTTCATGAAGTTTTGGACTCTGCTCATTTCTCTCTGACCACTTAACTACTCTCATGTTTTTATCAACATTGCAATCAAAACGTTTTCCTTTGGCCATAGTCACATTCTCGTCTCTTCAGCTCAAATTTCTTGTACCCTCTTGTTCTTTTTTCCTTTTGCTTTACACTGTGCCTTTCCAGGTCGAATTTCTCTCCACTTGTCATTGTGCTGTATGAAGCTTGGCCAGATTGACGACGGTTCGGTATGATTCACTTCGTAAACGATTTCGGTTTTTTTAGTTTCTTTCGCCGACGTGCGCGAACTTTCGTCGTTTCGGTTTCCGAAACTCCTCACCGTCCACCACTGAGCCTTGCAATCGCCATGTCTCAGCCGAGGAGAAGGACCGAACAAAGAACTATTTACTGACAGCCTTTCCACAAGCACTGCCTTTTAATCATTTTCACTGTCATAATCCTCGGAGATTTCCTCTGTTAAAATCGACGGCAGGAGCCACCTCTTGCGCTTGCCAATGGCATACAACACCGAGTCGTCGAAAAAGCGTCGTCCAAATCAGAAACCCCAGCGTCGATGATTACGACTTTGTTTTGCCACTTCTTCATCATCTAAGCCGTCCCAGACGTGGAACTTCTTCACATTTCTATTGATGTCTTTATCAGTGAAATTAATGTTTGTGTTGGCAACCGTTTTTGTTGCAATTGATTTTGATGCTTTACGCCAGGATGTGGAAAAATCCAAACTTTGCACAAGGGAATACACCGACCCTAAAGAGCTAACGTCCAGTGACAATTCCACACTAACATCTCTTCTGGACAAGCATGCGCCGATGAAGGAGAAAGTGGTTGTCTGTAGGCAGCGCTTGCTGTGGTTTAACGTAATTCCCTTGAAATTGTTCTACTATCAAACTTTTTTTGAAACTTGGCATAATCAACATTCATTATATGGACATTAAAAAAATGCAATAAAAAGATGGGGTCACCGTGCTCGTTTACGCGTCAGCAGGCTCTTAAAGTAGGGCATTTTTACTCGTTGCGCGTTAAAAATTCGAATCCCCTTCTTACAGAATTAAGTCTTTGTTACTTGAACACACAAAATTTTATCTTGAACATAAAGCTTCTTTTATTCAAATAAGCAGTATTGCTTCAATTAAATCGTTTTTGATTGCCTAGTTGTGAGGATATTGCACTTTTTCGGACAGTTCCGTCGTTAGCTTGAAGTCCTCGCCACGACCCAAATACACCAAATACGAAACTATTTTCCCCAAAAAGATCATGTTCTAAAAGAAGTAAACAGAAACAACTGAAAGCTACTCTTTGACGATTGCTATCATGCGTATCTGGAATGTCTGCGCTCTCCACTATCTGAACGCTTGGTATAGGCCAGAATCTCTATATGAAATAGTCTTTCATGAGATATCCCTAAACTTGTTTCCCCCCGAGTGGTACCGAGAACCTGTTCTGGCCCATGACCTAAATTCTTCCAACTGTTGAGAGAGCTGTCAAGCCAGCACTGTCAGAGTCAAAATCTGCGGTATTGCTGTTGTCATGGTAACCATGTTGTGGGGTTGCAGGGTCGATGTATATCACTGATCCTTTCCCACACAGATTGACCGCATGTGATGAAGCTGGGTTCACTTTGGAAATCCTTTCATTTTTATTGGAAGTAATCTTCAAGTGCTTCTTGACATTCTTGCGACGATTACTTATAAGTGACTTAGTGATGTAACTTTCAATGTCAAAGTTTAGGTTATGTTCATGAAGTTTTGAACTCTGCTCATGGCTCTCTGACCACTTTTTTTCTCTCATGTCTTTATCAAAATTGCAATCAAAAGTTTTCCTTTGGCCATAGTCACATTCTTGTCTCTTCAGCTCAAATTTCTTGTACCCTCCCCAGATGCGCCCTTTGTTCTTTTTTCCTTTTGCTTTACACCGTGCCTTTCCAGGTCGAATTTCTCTCCATTTCTTATTGTGCTGTATGAAGCTTGGCCAGATTGACGACGGTTCGGTATGATTCACTTCGTAAACGATTTCGGTTTTATTAGTTTCTTTCCATAAATCGCCGACGTGCGCGAACTTTCTTCGTTTCGGTTTCCGAAGCTCTTCACCGTCCACCACGGCCTTGCAATCGCCACGTCTCAGCCGAGGAGAAGGACCGTACAATTCACTATTTACTGTTGCTGACAGCCTTTCCACAAGCACTGCCTTGTAATCATTTTCACTGTCATAATCCTCGGAGATTTCCTCTGTTAAAATCGACGGCAGGAGCCACCTCTTTCGCTTGCCAATGGCATACAACACCGAGTCGTCGAAAAGACGTCGTCCAAATTGGAAACGCCATCGTCGATGATTACGGCTTTCTTTTGCCACTTCTTCATCATCCAAGCCGTCCTGGACGTGGAACTTCTTCAGATATCTATTGATGTCTTTATCAGTGAAATTAATGTTTGTGTTGGCAACGGTTTTTGTCAGAAACCCACGGTCGCCTGAGGAAACTGGCTTCAACGGCTTTCAAGGTTTTCTTAGCGTTCGACCGGTATGAATTCCAAATTTGCAGGTTTCCTTCCAAACCATGCTGTTAACGCTTCTTCGATGTAAACCAGAGGTTTCTACCAAAAAATGTAATCTCTCTGGGCATTTATTTACTTTCGAAAATCGCCACTCAGCGGTTTTAACAGCGTATTTTTAGAAAATTACTGCAATGTACTAGTAGTTTCCAGTGGAAAGTGAAGTCCTGCGAGTAAAGCATAACATTTCAAATAATTTGCATCAGCTGCAGTTTATTTCGATTGTTGATATTTGACATTAAAACTTTAAGTTTTCCACATTACACTTTATTTGTGTTCTGAACGTTCTTTTGTTTTCTTTCTGAATCGATTGACTGCGAACGAAAGAGCCACGATTTCAAGGGCCGTACTTGAAATCGAGGCGAATACGGTGATATGCATACATATTAGGCTGATTTAGCAACAGGGCAGGAACGTCATTTGACGACGGGAAAGCGCGTGGAAAGGACTGAACACGACTTCCGGTGCTCAATTTGCCGCTCTGCAATTAGTCAAGACAGTTGTTTGATTTGCGCGCGCCGTCAGTAACTGACGTTCCCGTTCTGTTGCTAAATCAGCCTAATTTACATCCAAAAATCTCAACTGAAGCTGGCTTCGGGCACAGGCAACCCAGGCTGGTCACGTAGGCGACCTGAATTAGTCTGCTCACAGGTAGCCCAAGCAAAATATAAGCATCGGTGAACATCGACGGTTTTGCATAACATTCGAAATATGAGGATTTGTATGGAAAAAAAACCTATCGTTTCCGTAACCTACGAAAATCAAAGGATTTCAATAAAAACAGCTTACCTTACATAAAATGTGTGTTACGATAGTTTTTTTTGCATACAAATCCGTATACTTCGAATGTTATGCAACAAATGTCGATGTTCGCCGATGCTTATATTTCGAGCTTTGGCTACCTGTGGTCTGCTGCGAAGCCTGGTCCAAAGAGCTTTTTCGAGAACACTACATCATTTTCTCTAGTGTTCATTGGTTGATCTTTGTCAACTCCTCCCTGTTTTCTCTTAGCTCATCGGGCTTTTTTGTCGGTGAGTAGACTGGTGTCTATCATCCTTAAAATCAAGATGGCGGCAAACGGAGACCGCGAAGAGAATAAACAGTAAGAGCAGTTCGTCTGAAACGCAAATGTAAGTTAATCAAGAAAACATGAATGAATACGTTTAAGAAGTTAGTTATTACAATTTCTTTTTTTATGGTGAGTTACAATCGTTATGATCCCTACATGCACTGTTATAAGATAGCTGTTTTGGTCACACACGTGGTCATAATATCTGGTGCAGATGCAAGCTCCGATACGCTACACAACAGGGCTCGAACAATAAAATTTTGCTTGCCCAGGGCCACTTCTTGTACCTCCTAGTTAATGATTAAGTTAGAGGATGACTCGTCTATAACCTTGCTTATTGGGCAAGTGAGGGAATCCGGACGTTTCGCACCCACGGACGTTTCGTACTCAGACGATTCGTACCCAAAGTTGAGATGATTCGTACCCAAAGCTAAGATGATTCGTACCCAAATCTAAGTTGATTCGTACCCAACTGCCCGTTTGATAATAAAACATTTTTAATCAGAAACTTTACAAAGTTGTATTTTGTTAGTTCATGCGCTTCACGCGATCCATTTTGTTAATTCGTGCGCTTTCACGCGAGTTAGATCAAATTAACCACCGCTCACTTTCTTTGTGTAGACTCGTGACGCGTGAGCGGCGCCGACACTAGAGGAGGTGAGACTTTTCATTAACATATATCTAAAAAGGACATGATACTTATACGGAATTAGCTTGTTCTCACTTCACGGCTGGGTCCAATTTATATGTCGATGTCGTGGGCTTTCACGGGAGTTAGATCAAATTAACCACCGCTCACTTTCTTTGTGTAGACTCGTGACTCGTGTGTAGACAATGCCTATACTAAAGAAGGTGAGACTTCTGTGATTAACACGTACTATTAAAAAAGACATTGTTTGATGTATGTCAATTAACAAAGGATAGTACTAAACAACATCAGCATTCACCAATGAAATCGCTGCAATTTCGATCCATCGGAGAAGGGATTCACAGTATAAAAGGCCTAGCATTTATTCTCATGTCACCAGTTTATAGAACACTATCGCTATCGATTACTTCGCTAACATCAAATATCAACGGTATGGAAGAATTTATTTGTATCTTTTGCTCAGAGATATACTGTACTGTACTGTACTGTACTGTACTGTACTGATCATGCGACAAGTAGCTACATCAGATGACTTATGGCGTTGCCCTTCCTTCCGCACAAGACAATTGAAGCCACTTTTGAGAGTCTGAGACCAGAAGCTACCACGCAGCCACTGAAGGAGTTTGTCCACTACATCGGAGAGACCTGGATAAACAGCAGAGTATGGCCACCTAAGTGCTGGAGCGTGTTCATGCTGTCAGTTAGAACAAATAATGACATAGAAGGCTGGCATCACGCCCTGAACCGAAGAGCTGCTGGCCGCTTTGGACTTCCCTTCAACTTGCTTGTGTCCCTGCTACACAATGGGGCCCGCCTAGTGTCACTGCAGATTCGGCTTGTGTCTGAGCGCAAGCTGAAGCGGATCCAGAGAGCCGCCTACTGCCAGTTACAAAACCGGCTCTTTGAGCTGTGGGAGGCATTTAACAAGAGAGAGAAATCACTTAAGCAATTACTGAAAGGTTGCGCAAACATCAATAGGCCAGTGAGCGTCTAAAGTACTTTAAGGACTCATGAACTTGATTTATTTCATCATTAGCTATTTTAGAAAATGTTAAGGTATTTTCAATAATCAGTATATCATTAGAAATCTCAAAAATACAGTACATTAGAAATCGCAAATTCAGAAAATAGGTTAAGAAAAATTGACTAGTTTAACACTTAAAGAAATAATCAGTATGTAGTATATTAAGCAATTACTGAGTAGGATATGAAGAATTAAGCAGATCGAAGGGGGTGTTATCCACAGAGGCTGAAGGACGAGGTGGATAACACCTTCCGAAACAAAAAACATGCTTACCTGCATCGATGTTAAGTTTATCTTCGATAGTGTATGTTTAGGTTTGTCCAGCTCCGCAAATATTCTCTAAATGACAGATGTCGCCTTCCGAGTTGTCTTCTTGCTGTTTTTGCTATGTTTTTAGCCATTATTTCGCCTAGTTCCAACTGTTTTTATTCTTGAAATGAGTGAAGTGTCCGCCATTTTAGTTTTCACAACGAAAACAACTCAACCTCGTCCCCAGGACTTCTCGGTTAACGGTGCATTAACCTGTAGAAGGCTGCATTTTTGACGTCATTTCCTCGTTAAAATCAAAATTCTTCCAAATTTGGTCATCAGTAACTGGTTATGGTGGATTATGCGTGTGCTTTTAGCCAATCAGAATTGCCCGTGGGTGTTCCTCAAGGTTCAGTTCTGGGACCTGTACTCTACCTTCTACCTTCTGTATACTGCGCTACTTGCTAAAGTGATAAGATCTTATGGCTTGGATTATCATCTATACGCCGACGATACTCAGTTATACTTTGCATTCAAATCGGTGGATGTGGACGCTCATGAGGAGACACAAAGGGCTTGCACTGTAAGTATCCCGGAAGGCTCCATACAATTCCTTATAATTTTGTTATAAGGAATTGTATGGAGCCTTCCGGGAGACTTTTCTTCATTAGCTTAGGCGCGGCGGATTTTGTCACGTATGATCAGCGCGAGGTGTTTTTCCCGACACCCTTCTGTCAGGAAAATGTCATCATATGAAAGCAAACCAGACACGATCGCGTCGGCAGTCCGAAGCCGGCAAAAATAGAAGGCTTTTCTTCTTTCAGTATTGTTTCGATGTGGTCAAAATAAATCAGGTTTGTAGGTTGTAGGTAATAAAATATTGTCTTATTCAGTTCTCAAGGACCTTTAGAAAACGAGATAATTGACTAGAGAAAGAAGCGTGAAAACGCTTTTCTGGAAGAAAATATATTTTAATTCTCGCAGCAATTTTGCGAACTCGCGAAGCGCAATATATTCAGTTTCCTCCAAAGCCGTCATGATTAAGCAGTGTAATGCCCCCACAACTAAAAATGAATTTAGTTTGTATCGCAAAAGCCGCGAAAATAGAGATGAAACAAAAAATGGATCGGAAAAATTAATAAAATCACCAAAAAACCGTCTCGCGGGAGCTTTGTCAAACAAACCGTTGGTTTATTTAACCTAACCTGGAAAAGGAGACGTCTGCACGCAGAATTCATTTCATACTACATGTAGTTGTGATTTCGGGAACGGACCTCGGGAGCCTCATTGCCGTAATATCTTCTACATTGCAGAAACTACAGCAGAATCGCCCTGCTCGCGTGCTAACTTTCCGTTCCAATTATGACTATACAGTACCAGTGAATTGTTTCGAAATTTAAAGGGGCGAAATTTATTTCCATCAGCGCGTAGTTAGCTAGTTAAGCAATAATAATGCACAGCACTGTAAATAACACGGTTCTAGAATATCTGACGGCTTCGCGTTTTGTTCGTCGCTGCATGCGACTTAATCGCTTATAACCTAACAGAAAATGCATGAATACAAACAAGCTCGCTGTTCCACAACCCCGCACTGAATTTTAAAAGAGAAGCCTTTCTTATAACGGAAGA